GCGTTTAAAGGCCTTAAAATGCCTTTTTAGACCACAGAAAATTAAAATGCGTTTTTTAGGCGTTAGAAGCGTTTAAAGGCCTTAAAATGCCTTTTTAGACAACAGAAAATTAAAATGCGTTTTTTAGGCGTTAGAAGCGTTTAAAGGCCTTAAAATGCCTTTTTAGACAACAGAAAATTAAAATGCGTTTTTTAGGCGTTAGAAGCGTTTAAAGGCCTTAAAATGCCTTTTTAGACCACAGAAAATTAAAATGCGTTTTTTAGGCGTTAGAAGCGTTTAAAGGCCTTAAAATGCCTTTTTAGACAACAGAAAATTAAAATGCGTTTTTTAGGCGTTAGAAGCGTTTAAAGGCCTTAAAATGCCTTTTTAGACAACAGAAAATTAAAATGCGTTTTTTAGGCGTTAGAAGCGTTTAAAGGCCTTAAAATGCCTTTTTAGACAACAGAAAATTAAAATGCGTTTTTTAGGCGTTAGAAGCGTTTAAAGGCCTTAAAATGCCTTTTTAGACCACAGAAAATTAAAATGCGTTTTTTAGGCGTTAGAAGCGTTTAAAGGCCTTAAAATGCCTTTTTAGACCACAGAAAATTAAAATGCGTTTTTTAGGCGTTAGAAGCGTTTAAAGGCCTTAAAATGCCTTTTTAGACCACAGAAAATTAAAATGCGTTTTTTAGGCGTTAGAAGCGTTTAAAGGCCTTAAAATGCCTTTTTAGACCACAGAAAATTAAAATGCGTTTTTAGGCGTTAGAAGCGTTTAAAGGCCTTAAAATGCCTTTTTAGACAACAGAAAATTAAAATGCTTTTTTTAGGCGTTAGAAGCGTTTAAAGGCCTTAAAATGCCTTTTTAGACAACAGAAAATTAAAATGCGTTTTTTAGGCGTTAGAAGCGTTTAAAGGCCTTAAAATGCGTTTTTTTAGACAACAGAAAATTAAAATGCGTTTTTTAGGCGTTAGAAGCGTTTAAAGGCCTTAAAATGCCTTTTTAGACAACAGAAAATTAAAATGCGTTTTTTAGGCGTTAGAAGCGTTTAAAGGCCTTAAAATGCCTTTTTAGACCACAGAAAATTAAAATGCGTTTTTTAGGCGTTAGAAGCGTTTAAAGGCCTTAAAATGCCTTTTTAGACAACAGAAAATTAAAATGCGTTTTTTATGCGTTAGAAGTGTTTAAAGGCCATAAACAGCCTTTTTAGACAACAGAAAATTATTTTTAAAAATCACCCAGCAGGAAAATTGGGAACGCATACAATTTGAAATTGTTCTTTATTAATGTGCTCCCGTATTCAATTTACTCAATCTGCCTGCTGGGAAAGTTTGAGGAAGCAAATTTTTCTTGAAGGAATTACTCGCTATTCCCAGCATTGTCATATGTGTTACACATATATATGGCAATGGCTCAATTAAAGGAATGATGTGGAAGTGATAGAAATATAAATTTGATAGATTTTCATTCATGTTTTTCAATTTTGAGGATTCGAAAATATTCCATTTTCAAAATAAAAATAATTTGATGATAATTTGTTTGTTTACATTTTTCTGTCAAATTAGTTGACACTAGTAGAACTTACAACAACAAATTTCCATGTGGTTGTTGTATCGTTTTTTGTACAACAACACTTGCTGTTACCTTTTATTATTATACCATGCCATAAAGTATGTAAATCGACTTCAAACAAATCTAAATAGGTCATCCGTTGGGCTATGTCTGTACTTCTACAAATCGCAACTACGTAATTCTATGCTCAATTTAGTAAGTTGTGCAAAATTTGATGTCAATCTGATTAACTGAGGAGTTTGATGCCCAATTTACTTGAAATCGGGCGAAAATATATATGAAAGCTCTATCCAAATATTAAGCGATTTCAAACAAACTTGTCACAGGTTATGTTATACTAATTTCAGAACGTTTTGTTCCTATCAGTCCACTGGTTCCTTGGTGCGTCAAATTCTATAATAAAAGGGAGCTATATCTAAATCTGGACCGATTTTCACGAAACAAGGCAGACATCACTCTAGGCTCAATTCAGTACGTTATGCCAAATTTCGTGCAAATCGAAAGACATATACTTTATGGCATCATTTAAATTTACTAAATCTGGACGATTTTCTCGAAACTTGGCAGACATCACTCTAGGCTTAATTCAGTACGATATTCCAAATTTCGTGCAAATCAAAAGATATAAGGGACTTTGGGGTCACCATTTACATGAAATCGGACGAAACTATATATGGGAGGTATATCTAAATCTGAACCGATTTTCTCAAACCTTGGCAGACATCATTCTAGGCTCAATTCAGTACGTTATGCCAAATTTCGAGCAAATCGAAAGATATATAGGGACTTTGGGGCACCATTTATATGAAATCGGACGAAACTATATATGGAAGCTATATCTAAATCTAGACCGATCTTCTCGAAACTTGGCAGACAACACTCTTGGCTTAGTTCAGTATGATATGCAAAATTTCGTGCAAATCGAAAGATATATAGGGACTTTGGGGCACCATTTACATGAAATCGGACGAAACTATATATGGGATTTATATCAAAATCTGAACCGATTTTCTCAAAACTTGGCAGACATCATTCTAGGCTCAATTCAGTGCGTTATGCCAAATTTTTTGCAAATCGAAGGATATATAGGGACTTTGGTGCACCATTTACATGAAATCGGGCGAAACTATATATGGGAGCTATATCTAAATCTGGACCGATATTCTCGAAACTTGGCAGACATCACTCTAGGCTTAATTCAATACGTTATGCCAAATTTCGTGCAAATCGAAAGATATATAGGGACTTTGGGGCACCATTTACATGAAATCGGACGAAACTATATATGGGAGCTATATCTAAATCTTGACCGATTTTCACGAAACTTTGCAGACATCATTCTAGACCTAAATGATTAGGCTGTACCAAATTTCGTGCAAATCGAAAGATATATAGGGACCGTTTACATTAAATCGGTTAAATATATATATATATATATATATATGGGAGCTATATCTAAATCTGAACCGATTTTTTCCAATTTCAATAGGGTTTGTCCCAAACAAATGAGCTGTGCCAAATTTCATCCAATTCGGATCATAAATGCGACCTATACTTTGCTCACAAGAATACATGGACAGACGGACGGACGGACATGCATAAATCGACATAGAAAGTGATTCTATGCATATTCTAGACAAAAGAAAATTAAAATGCGTTTTTAGGCGTTAAAAGCGTTTAAAGGAATTAAAATGCCTTTTTAAACCACAGAAAATTAAAATGCGTTTTTTAGGCGTTAGAAGCGTTTAAAGGCCTTAAAATGCTTTTTTAGACCACAGAAAATTAAAATGCGTTTTTAGGCGTTAGAAGCGTTTAAAGGCCTTAAAATGCCTTTTTAGACAACAGAAAATTAAAATGCGTTTTTAGGCGTTAGAAGCGTTTAAAGGCCTTAAAATGCCTTTTTAGACCACAGAAAATTAAAATGCGTTTTTTAGGCGTTAGAAGCGTTTAAAGGCCTTAAAATGCCTTTTTAGACCACAGAAAATTAAAATGCGTTTTTTAGGCGTTAGAAGCGTTTAAAGGCCTTAAAATGCCTTTTTAGACCACAGAAAATTAAAATGCGTTTTTTAGGCGTTAGAAGCGTTTAAAGGCCTTAAAATGCCTTTTTAGACCACAGAAAATTAAAATGCGTTTTTTTTAGGCGTTAGAAGCGTTTAAAGGCCTTAAAATGCCTTTTTAGACAACAGAAAATTAAAATGCGTTTTTAGGCGTTAGAAGCGTTTAAAGGCCTTAAAATGCCTTTTTAAACCACAGAAAATTAAAATGCGTTTTTTAGGCGTTAGAAGCGTTTAAAGGCCTTAAAATGCTTTTTTAGACCACAGAAAATTAAAATGCGTTTTTAGGCGTTAGAAGCGTTTAAAGGCCTTAAAATGCCTTTTTAGACAACAGAAAATTAAAATGCGTTTTTAGGCGTTAGAAGCGTTTAAAGGCCTTAAAATGCCTTTTTAAACCACAGAAAATTAAAATGCGTTTTTTAGGCGTTAGAAGCGTTTAAAGGCCTTAAAATGCCTTTTTAGACCACAGAAAATTAAAATGCGTTTTTTAGGCGTTAGAAGCGTTTAAAGGCCTTAAAATTCCTTTTTAGACCACAGAAATTTAAAATGCGTTTTTAGGCGTTAGAAGCGTTTAAAGGCCTTAAAATGCCTTTTTAGACAAAAGAAATACCCCAGTTTGTATTACTATTTATTTAGTTTTATTTAGTAAAGGTATTAAATGAAATCACACCGAATTAAAGAATATTTATGTTAATTACATAGCCATACAACTATATTTGTTAATATTCTTTGATTTATTTGTTAATATTCTTTGATTTAATTTTCAAATATTGGTTTAAAATTACTGCAATATTATATTTCCTTAGATAAGAATAAAGGTTTCATTTAATTTGGGAAAAGTTTCATTCTATTTGTAAAAGGTTTCATTTAATTTGGAAAAGGTTTCATTTAATTTGTAAAAGGTTTCATTTAATCTGGAAATGCTATATCTGATGATAATAAAACTATTATCCAATTTTCGATGCATTGAGATTTTGTTTTCTCATGACTAGCCAGCACAGACGTAGACAGGGGGGGCCTGGGCATGTGAAGGGAGTAACCGATTTCAACATCGAATGCGGTGGAAATATGGAAAAATCATACATTAGAACTATATTGCCAATATGGTGTTCTTCAATTCAGTAGTTGACCACAAGTCAGGTTCTCAGTGGGCCATCTGCCCCCCCGAAGTTAAATCCTGGCTACGTCCCTGCTCCCCAGTATACAAATGTTCGGTATTTTAAATGAGAAGGTTGTAACAAATTCGGCCCAGTCGAATGTAAGTACTTATTTAAACTTTGACATAAAGAAAGATACAAATTAAATGTGAATTTGTTATATTTTGCATTCAAGTAAATATAAAGATTTTAATATGTGTAACACTTAATACGATAACTTTGAAGTGAAAACCAAACTCATTATATTTTCATCTGACTCAATATGGTGTACATCGAAAACGAAAACTTAATAATCTGAAAAATAAAAAAATAAAAAAAAACATTAAAAAAAAATATTTAAAACTTCTCAGTCATTTCACTCACTGATAAAAACGTTTGCAATGTAACCGGTGCCAAGCCTCCGGCATAGATGACATTGATTTTCTGTGAACGTTGCATAAAAGTAATTAACATTCGTCGAAAGTTGTGATTCTGTTCAATCCAATTACAATTGTACATGGCCGTTGTCAAATTTGAAGTTTCGGACATCATAAAAGTCACACACAAACAGGCGGGGAAAATCTGAATGAGTATCACAACCAAATAGACAACGGAGAATATTTTCTCAGCAAATGTCCGCTCGAAAGCCATCAAATTGATGGCTGTCAAGCAGAGAGTAAAGGCGGCAATCCACAACTGTTGAAACATTGTCGATGATATGGCGGGACTAATGCATTCAAAATAGCTATAAAAACATAAGATAGATGAAATTAGTGACAGATTGCGTGGAGAGATTAAATTAAATATTTTAATTTACTTAAATATATTAGAAGTAGCAAATTTGATTACCATTTAGTACCAAATTTCATGATTTGAGCTCTAAAGGTTCACCCAAATCCAAATTTTCCATTTAGCACACATTATTTCTATAAAAAACTACCTATATACCCCAACCCTACACCCTACAGTGATCCTAAATCCAAGTTTCAGGATTCTAACTCTATCGGTTCACCTACATTCACAGTGATCTACAGTGATCCTAAATCCAAGTTTCAGGATTCCAACTCTATTGGTTCACCCACAATTCAAATTGTACTAAATTTAGTACATAGTAGTACCAAATTCCAAACCTTCGTGCCCCAACCCTACACCTCCACAGTGTTCCTAAATCAAAATTTGAGGATTGCATCTCTATCGGTTCACCCACAATTTAAATTGTACCAAATATAGTGCACAATAGTACCAATTTCCAAACCTTCCTACATACCCCAATCCTACACCTCTACAGTGGCTCTAAATCAAAATTTCGGGATTCCAACTCTATCGCTTTACCCAAAATTCAAATGGTACCAAATTTAGTACACATTAGTACTAACTTCTAAAACTTCCTACATATCTCAATCATACACCTCAACAGTGATCCTGAGTCCAAATTTCATGATTATAGCAAATTGTACCAAATTTAGTACTGTTTAGTATACATAAGTATTATTTTCTTAAACTGAATCCTGACCCCAATCCCACACCCCAACAGTGATCATTGTTCCCGCTCTATCGGTTCACCCAAATCCAAACTGTACCGATTATTGTACGATTTAGTACTTTTCGTACACACAAGTAAAAAATTTCTAAAACTACGTTCATATCCCAATCCTACACTCCGACGGTACTTTTAATTTCAAATTCCAGAATTCAAGCTCGATTTGTATCTCCAAATTAAATTTGTACATGAGTACACGCTTTCAAAACCATTTCCTTAAATGGACCCTACTTCTCAACCATAATTTACACTCCAAATTTCAAGTTTTTAGTGCTATCCGTTCAAATTTAAGGATAGTTATAGTTCGAATTTCCAAAAATCCTTTGGTACATCTATCCTACACTCCATCAACGACCACAAAAAAAAAAAAAAAAATGTCGTAGTTCTAGCTCCACCGGTTCGATACATACAAATGGTATCACATTTAGTACTTTTCGTACCGTTCTAATACGAATTTCAAAAAACCCAGCCTTTGTGCCAAAAATAGTACCATATAGTACTTTTCGTACACATGAGTACACGCTTTCAAAACCATCTTCTTAAATAGACTCTACATCTCAACCCTAATTCGCATTCCACACTTCAAGTTTTTAGCTCGAGCATGCTACGAATTTGTACCAAATTAAGTACATTTTAGTACTTTTCGAATAGTTATAGTTCGAATTTCCAAATCCCTTTGCTACACCTATCCTACACTCCATCAGCGACCACCATCCAAATTTCAGAGTTCTAGCTCTATCGGTTCGCCAAATACAAATGATATCACATTTAGTACTTTTCGTACCTTTCTAATACGAATTTCCAAAAACCCAGCCTTATCTGTCACATTTGGGCCAAGAGTGACCCTCACCCAAAATTTCAATATTCTAGCTTCAGCAGTTTTGTCTGGGCGTTGATGAATCGTTAAATCAGTCAGTCAGTCTCTTTTACTCGTTTATTTGTATAGATTACTAATAAAGCAGCAGAAAAAGCATCCAAAAAGACAAGCAGGATAAGCCTATTTGTTTTATATTCTCCACCATGAGGTGAGCTCTTTCCCATTATAACACATCAAATTAATTTGAAATTTCAGCCTTTTCGAAGTACCTATAATTTGGCAATTTGAGTTTTCAGAGGGCGATAAACATCTCTGCCAAAAAGGTTTTATAAAGGCTCATGTTTTGACATTGTTCCCACACAAAGATGCCAAACATTTTTCCGAATTGTGTGGATTTTAGCTTGTGTGGATTCAGCTTTCTAATTGTTATATATTTATAAGGACTTTAATTTGCTTCCTTACACATTTGATACTACTATTGAAATCATCTTCCTTAAATTTCTCTGGAAACACGTGCGCAATTTACTGCAAACTCAAAATAGTTTCAGAGTTGTTAAAAAAAATGTCCTACTTAATGCCTTTTAATGCATTTTATATTTTTACCGTTTTCTTACTTTTTATTTTGGTCGACAACGAGTTTAAAACTTTTCTTCTGCTTAGCTAAAACTGAAACACACACACTCTCAAATGAATAAATATTTGGGTGTGTGTGTGTATTACTGAGAAAAAGTTTTCCACAGATTTTAAAACGATTTTTTTGTGAGAGTGTGTGTGTTTTTTAAAGTTGGTAATTTAAAGTTGTTATAATCACATGAAGACTTACACACACATACACCCAGTTTCATAGATACAAACGGTAGATAGCATAAAATGAAGTAAAAGTTGTGCGAACAGGAAAAAAAACTTCACATTATCCTCTGTGTGTATAAAATAAAGGATTAAAAGTGTATTCGAAAGATTCAATCGCTGGTAGATGTGTGGCACCTGCTTTAAATGCTGATGTTATGCTAAGTAGCAAACATTTTGGTCGAAGGATAACACGATACCATCGAGCTACTATCTACTTTCCTATTCTAGGAAAATATTTTTACGGCATACCAAAAAAGCCATGCATAAAAACACCCATCATCAGTGGACTAACTCACGCAAAGCAAGTAGTCTGTCAGTCAGTTGGGCAAAAAATGTGATGTATACATTCACATCCACTGCTTTGACTCATTCGCTTAACCGAACTTTGCATAGTCGCCTAGATTTGTGTGTGTAGATTCACTTGGTGTCATGATAGCAGAGCTTAGCCATCGTACTTGAAATGCAGCTGAATGGAAGCTATATGAAGAGAGGGGTTTTTTCGAAGGAATTTTCGTTAAATATACCATAAACCAATAAGGTTTGGTTATGGACGAGGCTTGTTTGATTAGATATTAAATTATAGCTGTAAATTGTGCTAAGATTACACTGTAGCTATGAATTTTATACAATCGGAAGCTGGGACGCACACAGAGGCTGGTGCTTAGAAAATACAATTCGAATCTTTGCGATGATTTTTTTTCTACATGCCATGAACCCGAAATTACAATCTGTTAGGCAAAGCGTGCACAATTACAGCAACTTTCATTGAAAAGATGTGGCTTAAACATGGAATTATCGGTACCTATATTTTTGGATATGTATATATATATATATATATACCTATATCGGACCTACAAATCAAATTCTGCTATCCTAGAAGTAGCAGCGTCTGAACAACATTTCAAAACTGTATCTTAAGTATTGCGATCTCAATCGGGGCTTCAAAACACAGGTGGATATGGCTAAAGCGACATGGGAATTTATTCGAATTAGGAATGTCCTTTAAAATATTCAATGAACATATTTATGTATTTCCTTTACAAGGTAGTTATTGAAATGTGGTTCATGATCATCCCATCCCGCAGGCACTCCATTCAGGAGGTTTTAGGGTTGGAACGATGAATACCTATTTTAATATAGACTTAAAAATTAGAGTTTATTACGATCGTCGTTTTTATACTCTTCATTATAAAGAAGAATATACAAAAGAGAGATCCCATTATTAATTATATTTTCGCGATCAAAGCAAAATTCTGTCATTGAGTCATTACCACATCAAGAAAGGACATGACGAAAACCGCTAAACGCAACTCCTGGAAAATTTTCTGTGAATATATAGATAGCGCTAATGACGTCTAAAAACGTAAAGAAGATTCTATCAAAAACCCACACTCAAACCGAAACCATGGTAGATCAGGGGGGAATAGAGTATAGACCACAGAAAAAAACAGTGAGCGGAGCTGTATAGTCGGACGGGGCCGACCATACGATACCCCACACAACTACCACGGAACTCTAACTTTCTGCGGATTTTTATTCCGAGCCTGGACAACATTTCGTGAGATTTGCACCCTCTTGCCCGATTAGATGTCAACAGCTCCTCTTCCATATACTGACATATTTTCCGATTATTACCAATATTCAGTTCAGCCCTTATAATTACTTGTCCAGACTCCCATCACCGTGGGTTGTGTTGTGATGTTCGTCTTTTAATCGTGGCCTATAGATCGATTCAAAAAAAAAAAATATATATGTTTTCGGTCCACTTTATCCCAAAAAAGTTACCTGATCATCACCGAAAATTATAGGCGTTGCCGTTGACCATAACTGGAACCTCATGGAACATTAGAAAGCCATCAGCGCCCTCCAGTGTGGTAATGGTTTACTAATTAATATCTGAATACGTAAGCACCTGTATTTACGTGTAACTCCCACAACGGAGTAGATACGACAATAAAATTGGTATCAATTTAAAGGTCAACCACTCCTCTTGGATATACTAACTCCTCGGGTCTATGTTCAGGAGTAAATATATATACGCTATAGAACAAAAAAATTGTCTCATTGTTCACACTAAAGTCAGGGTCCATTTGAGCCTCTAAATATTGATCGATCTTTATCAAAACAGGCATGCATATTCATTGGCCCGATCCCCTATTCCATGGGCCATAAATGCGGCCTCTGAAGCGACCAGAAAAACCGACAAAAATAAAGTATTTGGTCTATTTCATCCTCTAGTTATAAACCGATATTTACCAAAATTGGCCAGAACCCGTCCTACATGCAACATTTCGTGAAGATTGGTCCATAAATGTGGCCTTATCGTGTTTACAAATTATAATGGACAGACAGACGGACGGACACACATGTCCACATCGACTCAGTTAGTCGAGATACGACGATCGGTGCGCCTAGGATCAATATTTCGCGGTATTACAAACTCTTGGGGCTGCAAAAATCTATAATACCCTGACAACATAGTTGTATAGGGTATAACAACTATAAATATCCGGGACAAAATAGGACAAGGGATTTTATC